TGGGAGAGTTGACTTTAGCCCGGTCTGACTGTGCGTAAAGGAGCTGCTTAAATGCCGCGGCAATAGGTGGTCGTTGAGACGCTTTTTTCACTCATGTCTTTCTTGTGCCACAGTGCTTACACATCGTGACAGTTTTGTCGAATATTAATTATCAGTGTAGTTACAGTGAAGCCAAAATGCTCTCCTACTGGGGATTTAAATGACGCGGGGCTTTTAAGCATCTCCGTTCCTCCGCTCGCAATGACCGCGCTGTGTGTGGACTGAACAACGTGCGCACAACTTTTTTTTCATAAATCAAACCGCGGATCACGTCTGTACCGAACCGAAGACGTTGAACCGAACGGATCACGGATCAGTGATGAACCGTTGCACCTCTATTAGATAAGAACTCTGTTTTTGTGAGCCACTTAAACATGTTCTGTGCAGATAATCATCTTACACTGTCCAGTAGGGAGCTCCTGCCTGAACAAAGTTACACCTATATAAGTGAAGCCTGGCACACTGTGTCGTGGCTGGACCACTGCATCACTACAGAGGATGCTCATGCTGCTCTGTCGGCCATGAGCATCTTGTATGAAATGTCCAGTGCAGATCATATCCCTGTATCAATGTTCATCAGATTTGGCATAATACCCACCATGCAGGAAGTTAAACGTAGTGAAAGTAAACACCTGGACTGGTCTGCTCTCTCTTCAGAAGAGCTTGCCTGTTATTGTGCTCACACTGACATGTTGCTAAATAATATTGCGCTGCCAAAAGGAACAGTTATGTGCTCTGATTACAATTGTACGGATGCTGGACACAGGACATCTATTTCTGTTCTGTACTCCGACATTTCTTCTGCATTAATTGAATCAAGTGCGCCTTTTTGTAAATACAGAAAGAAAGGCCAAATAAGACCTGGTTGGAACTCTCATGTGGCTACTTCCCATGCTGAAGCCCGTGACGCTTGTAAGGCCTGGGCGACTGCAGGAAAACCCAGACAGGGACCTTTGTTTGAGCATAAAAAACGTACAAATGCACAATATAAGTACGCCATTCGATTCCTATGTAAAAATGAGAAAACAATACGGGCTGACTCCATGGCCAATAAGCTTTTAAATAGTGACACCAAGGCCTTCTGGAAGCAGGTTAAAGGTATAAATAATAGCAAACCCTGTCTACCTCACACTGTAGATGGAGTCACTGGGTCCCACTCTATTGTAGAACTGTGGAGAAAACATTATTTTAAACTGTTTAACTGTGTCTCAAGTGAACCGTACACTGTCAACAATGTTGACTTTGTGGATTCAATTAAAGTGCATGAGGTACAACAAGCTATAAATATGCTATCAAATAATAAATCCACAGGAATGGATCATATATGTGCTGAGCATCTTAAATATGCCAGTATGAGGTTGGCCCCTCTTCTGGCCATATGCCTCTCTACCTTTGTTGTACATGGTTTTATCCCAGACTCAATGATGTCTGTGTTATTGGTTCCTGTGATAAAAGACAAAACGGGGAAAGTGGGCAACTCTGATAATTACAGACCAATCGCCCTGGCAAATATACTGTCAAAAACATTTGAGCAAATCCTTGTGAGCCGGCTCAGTGTTTACATTGGCTCCACGGACAATCAATTTGGCTTCAAAGCCCATCATGGTACTGACATGTGTATTTATGCTTTAAAAGAATTGTTAAGTAAATATAAAAGTAGACAATCCACTGTTTTTATGTGTTTTTTTAGATGCCTCCAAGGCTTTTGACCGTGTTAACCATGCCAAATTGTTTCACAAACTATGTCAAGCCAATGTTCCTAAATATGTAGTTCGTTGCCTGTCTTACTGGTATGCCCATCAGACTCTGGAGGTCAAATGGGATAACTGTGTATCTGCACCCTTTCAGGTCAGCAATGGTGTGAGACAAGGGAGTTTGCTGTCTCCAATTTTATTTAATTTTTATATGAATGACCTTTCTAAAGAATTAAACTGGTGTAGAACAGGGTGTGTTGCTGGAGATAACATCGTCAACCACTTGATGTATGCTGATGACCTGGTGATTTTCAGTCCGAGTTCAGCTGGTCTCCAGCAGCTGCTTGATGTGTGTTCGGCGTACGGTGAACAAAACAATATCAAATATAATGAAAGGAAAAGTGTCATAATGACCTGTCGAACCAAAGAGGACCAAGCCCTGGTGTTTCCTGACTTTAAGCTATCTGGAAACATCCTAAAAACTGAAAGCACGGTGAAGTATCTTGGTCATATCCTGACAGATCGTCTGTCAGACGATGAGGATATGTATCGACAGTGCCGTATGCTGTACGCCCAGGCTAATATTTTGTTGCGTAAATTTGGACACTGTTCTAATGCAGTAAAAGTGGCTTTGTTTCGGGCATACTGCACCCCGCTTTACAGCGCTCATCTGTGGGTGAACTATAAAAAGTCCAGCCTACAGAGACCGGAAGTGGCCTACAACGATGCCTTCAGACTGTTGCTAAAAAGGCCCAGATGGAGCAGCGCTTCTGAACTTTTTGTGTCCTTTCAAGTGAACACACTGCAGGCCAACTTGAGGAACCTAATGTACAAGTTTATGTGTCGCCTGGACAATAGTACAAATATGATGATTTTAGTGTTGACGAGTAGAGCATACAGTGATGTTCGTTATACCTCTGCACTGTGGAAACACTGGTATAGATGCCTCCTCTAAAGAGATTTGGGGACTTTTAGTTGTTTTATGTTGTCTGTTTTTAGTGTGTTGTGTCTTGTCAATTTTTTGTGTTTTGGACTACGAGTCTGTAATAAAAGCTATCTATCTATCCATCATTAATCTAGGCATTAATCTATCTCATTAATCTAGGCATTAATCTATCTCGTTGATCTATCTCATTAATCTAAGCATTAATCTATCTCATTAATCTAGGCATTAATCTAGCTCATTAATCTATCTTGTTAATCAATCTCGTTGATCTATCTCATTAATTTAGGCATTAATCTATCTCATTAATCTATCTCGTTAATCAATCTTGTTGATCTATCTCATTAATCTAGGCATTAATCTAGCTCATTAATCTATTTTGTTAATCTATCTCGTTGATCTATCTCATTAATCTAGGCATTAATCTATCATTAATCTATCTCGTTAATCAATCTTGTTGATCTATCTCATTAATCTATCTCGTTAATCTATCTCGTTGATCTATCTCATTAATCTAGGCATTAATCTATCTCATTAATCTATCTCATTAATCTAGGCATTAATCTATCTCATTAATCAATCTCGTTGATCTATCTCATTCATCTAAGCATTAATCTATCTCATTAATCTATCTCATTAATCAAGGCTACACTCATTAACTTTTTGTATTGTCAACATTCACAGATGTTTGAACACAAGTGAATTTGGTAAGTATCTAATAAAACTGTGGTTAGAGATGCACCGATCCAGATTTTTTTCTACCGATACCGATACCAGAGCTATGGGTTTCTGCTGATACCGATATTGACCGATACCGGAAATGATCATGCTAAAATGTATTTAATAATTGAACTTTGTTCAAGTAACTGCAAAAGCAGTGGATGAACTAAAGTGCTAAACTTTCCAGATAAAAATGGATTGAACATAAATGTGCAATACTGCAACTATAAAGAGCTGCTCAATGTTCACATTAAACATTCAACACTGTATTAGACCTTATACATTTACTGAATATAAATGTACTTATATTAACTGTGTTTGAATAAAATACTTACAACAAACAAAACACGCTGCATGAAAATGTAAATAAATAATAGTACCGTAGCTTTAAGTGGATTTCAGATATGTATTTGGCGACGGCATGTACCTGGGTTCCAAATGGTCTATGGGGCTGCGAGCCCATGATGAACTCCAACACTTTGGGGTTGTTGCTGAAAAGCTTTTTGTGACGCTGCGTCAGTGTCATCTGTGTCTCGTTGTTTTCACGTAATCTCCTCTCGATGCAGAAACTCCCCGTGCTGTTTTTCGTGGTGCTTAGTCGTGTTGTATTTCGCTGGTTTACCGCCGCGTGAACAACGCTCTTTCCTGCTCCATGCTGTGTTGTTGTTGTTGTAGAGCGCCACGAGGAAGTGACGTGTCAGATCTGAGACATTACTTTTAATTCATTCATTTTATACGTATATGTACATTATGCACAATGTATTTTTTTTTTTTTTTTTACAAACTTTATCTATCATTTTCATAGTAATTACAAACAGTACACTTTTATTTCAACATAATATATAAAACCGTATTCCCTCCCCCCACCCATGGCTCTTGTCTAACATATTCTACAAAGGGCTTCCAGGTAACAAAACATTTATGTTGTGATGGTGCTAGTTTATGTCTGAGCTTTTCCAACGATAGAAAAGAAAGAACCTCCTTCAACCACTGAGAAAATGAAGGGGCCCGGTTTGATTTCCAATTAAATAACATTAATCGACAAGCGAGTAAAGTTGCAAATGCAACAGCATTTGCCTGAAAACAATTTACCTGTGATGATGTTATTCCAAAAATAGCTATTCTGAAATCAGGAGCCAGATCTTGACCACAAACCAGTCACAGGCGCCATCTTGTCTGTGAGACAAGATGGCGCCTGTGACTGGCGATGCCACGGCTCGTCTCCTACTGTGTAGATTGCTAATGGTCATTTTGTCAACCTATGCGATCATATCAGCCCAAATAACAAAAGGATGTGTGGCTATACAGACTTTTGATCGGCACTCTTTGTTTCGTATAAAGCAGTCAATGGAGGGCCTGTTTGATACATGGGACAGCTACAAACAGGCGTTTCCTCCTCCTTTCATCATCGATCCCGGCTCACCTGATTACTTGTTGTGTCGGGCGCCGCGCAGGGTCCGCAGGAGATCCAAGAAAAGAGGCTCTCGGCCCGGTGTCCAGGTTAAGCGAAGGCGTGCCGCATCGCGCTTTGGCTCCGCTGTCTTCGGCTGCAGGGATCGTGCTCGGTGCCTTCGCCAGATTCCTCTCCTCGATGCGTGTGACAGGGTGTCCACGCCGACGCCTGCTCGGCCTACAACGAGTGTCCTGGACCCATCACAGCGCTGGAGTTGTGGTCAGGAGCTTTCATCGCCATCGTTTACTTCTGTGTTTGTGCCTGCTCTTCCAGCATGGACCAGCTGGAGTCCACGTGACCGCTGGACGTGCCTTCGACCAATCCCGCTGCTCAACACGGACACTGCCTTCGTGACGTCATCTACAATCTGCGTTGGCCTGTTGAATGCTCGTTCAATTGCGAATAAATCTCATTCATTGAACGATCTTTTCGTCAGAGAAAGCTTGGATATCATGTGTCTTTCGGAGACTTGGCAGAGAGAGGAAGAGTTCATTCATTTAAATGATCTCTGCCCAGCTGGCTGCTCTGCTGTCGGGAAACCCCGCCCCTGTCGCCGTGGTGGTGGCCTGGCATTTGTGCACAGGGATGTCCACAAATGCAAAGTGACCCAGTCCCAAGAATTCACATCTTTTGAATCCCAGCTGGTCAAGGTGGGATTTTCATCCCCATTTTACTGTGTGTTGATCTACCGTCCTCCTGGCCCCGCTGCTGCCTTTTTAAAGGATTTTAGTGACTTTTTATCCTCTATAATAAAGTTGGAATCTGTTTTACTCCTTGGGGATTTTAACCTTCATGTTGACGACTGCTCATCTTGCCCCGCAATGGAACTGCTTACATTGACTGAAACTTTTAATTTTGAGCAGCATGTTTCTGAGCCCACTCACCAAAAAGGCCATACTCTAGACCTAGTTTTTACGCTTGGCATAGACATTTTAAACTTGTCTGTGATTGATGTCCATATGAGTGATCATAGTCTTGTTATGTTTGATCTGTACCTTAGTCCTGAGCCCAAGCCTTCAGCAGTCAGGTCTCAGAGGCGTGTCATCTCTGCTAATACCGCAGATAGTTTTTCAGAAATGTTTGACCCTCTTTTAGTCATGGACTGTTTCGATGTGGACAATCTCATTCACTGTTTTAATAACCACTGTGAAACAATTTTGGATCAGTTGGCTCCTGTTAAATCAAACTTGTCACAGAAAAAAGCGTGTCCTTGGACAAATTAAGATATCTTAAGACTCAGGAGGCTGTGTCGAAAGACTGAACGCCTGTGGAAATCCACTAAACTTGAGGTGCACAGGCTCTATTGCAGGGATCTTGTGTCATCATTCAACGTGATGATTGAAAATTCCAGATCTGAATATATCCGTCAACTGGTAACATTGAATAAGAAAAATCCCAAAGTGTTGTTTGACTCGATTAACTATTTTGTATGTCCTGCTGCTCCAGTTACCCCTGTCTTTTGTGAAGCTGACAGCAATGCCTTTTCGAGATTTTTCACAAAATTAAGATGATCAAGGATAAAATCTCGCCCCTTCTGTGTGGCACCCCTGCTGTGTTTGAGCCTGTGTCCAGCATGTGGTCTTCCTTTAAAACGGTGACATTTGCTGATATTTCAGCACTGGTGTCCAAGATGAATCCCTCCTCTTGTTCATCTGACATCCTTCCTTGCAGGCTCTTTCAAAAAGTGTTCGAGGTAATTGGCCCTTGTGTTACCAAAATGGTTAATGTCTCTTTGTCAACTGGCGTGTTTCCCAGTGCCTTTAAACATGCCATAGTGGAGCCACTACTAAAAAGAGCAGGGTTAGACCCGACTGATCTTAATAGTTTTAGGCCTATTTCGAAACTCCCGTTCCTGTCCAAGATCCTTGAGAAGGTGGTCTGTGAACAGCTTACGTTCTTCCTGGATCAAAATAACATCCATGAGCCGTTTCAGTCTGGTTTCCGTAAACGACACTCTACGGAAACGGCCTTGCTGAAAGTGTCCAGCGACATTATGATGTCTGCTGATTCTGGGAAGCGCACTGTTCTAGTTCTCTTGGATCTGTCCTCAGCATTCGACACCGTTGACCATCAGGTTCTGCTGAAAAGACTGAGGGATCAAGTAGGACTGTCGGGGGCAGTTCTACAGTGGTTCTCCTCATACTTATCGGGGCGTAGCTTCAGTGTTACAGCTAACCAAATTAGGTCTGAGTCTGTGGGTTTGTTGTGCGGAGTCCCTCAAGGGTCCGTTTTGGGTCCTGTCTTATTTTTGTTGTATTTGATTCCTTTGGGAAATATCATCCAAAGGTTCAGTGATGTTTCTTTCCGACTATTTGCTGACGATATCCAGCTTTACTGTTCCTTTAAGCCGTCTGAAATCCAGAAGCTAGACTCTGCTCCATTGTCTAATGGAAATAAAACAATGGCTCAGCGATAACTCTCTGCAGCTAAATGCAGACAAAACCGAAACACTGGTTATCGCACCTGATGATGCAATTCCGGGGATTAAACAGTACCTGGGTGACTTAGGCCAGTCAGCGAAGCCAAGTCTTCGAAACTTGGACGTTATCTTTGACAAAGACATGTCATTAGTCCAGCACTGTAAGCAGCTAACAAGGAACTGCTTCTTTCAACTAAGGAACATTTCTAAACTTAGGAATATGGTCGCACGTAATGACTTGGAGCTTATCATTCATGCATTTGTGTCTTCACGCTTAGACTATTGTAATAGTTTGTTTTCATGTCTAAATAAGAAGGAGCTCTCTCGACTGCAACTAGTGCAAAACTCTGCAGCGAGAATTCTGACCCGCACTAACAGGAGGACCCACATATCTCCTATTTTAAAACAACTTCATTTGCTGCCAGTGTCCTATAGGATCACGTTTAAAATTTTGGTTCTAGCTTTCAGAGCCTTGCGTGGTCAAGCTCCTTCTTACCTCAGTTTTCTGATCCAGCCTCACACCCCTGCTCGGGCTCTGAGGTCTGTGGATCCAAATCTGCTAAAGGTTCCACGCACTTGTTTTCGTACAAGAGGTGACCGATCCTTCCATGGCTGTTGCTCCCAGGCTTTGGAACGATCTTCCGCCCTCTTTGCGCTCTACTGACTCTGTTGATACTTTTAAAAGCAATCTTAAGACTCATTTATTTGTTCAAGCCTTTAATTAGCTATTTTTGGGCTGATACGATTTCTGTGTTGTTTTGACCCTTTTTATATTGTATTTAATTTTGTGATGTTTTAACTGTGTTGTGAAGCACTTTGTGGCCTTTGCCTGTGAAAGGTGCTATACAAATAAAGATTACTTACTTACTTACAAATATGAGAGACAATGGCTGTGTCCAAAACGGTAGGCATCGGGCCGCGTAGGGTGGATATGTAGGCATCGAGGGAAGGCCGCGTAGCCACAGGCGAGGTAGGAGGCGAGACGTGAGGTGGATTTGGACAGCAGCTGCCTTCTGCCTTCGTCACGTGACTACACAACTCAGAGCGAAGCGGAAGGACACGGCGGCCATGATGGACGGTAAAAAGTTCTAAATACGCTTTAATTAGGACATAAAAGTTAATTCTAATATCATTTGAGGCGAGAAATATCCCCCTCTATTGTCATATCAGAAGTCTGTTTGGAGATAAATTCGAAAATTTTCGGACTTTACCTCCAGCCTGAAGCTCCGGTGCTATAAGCTAACAGCCCAGTTAGCTGCAGTGCTGAAGCCCAGAACAGGCTGTCTAAACACGGGTTCAGGTAATGAGAGCCCCCCTGGATGTTTACAATCGTATTCTGAAAAAACAGAGGATGCTTTTGTTGTTACACTTTCTCTGTTATAACAATTGTATTGGCAGTAATCATTAGTTTTTACAAAGTTATATTTTATGTAAACAATGCACATATATGCAATAAATGATTATTAGATATGGATTATATATTTGCTATGGCCCTTGTTTGTGCATCACTTAAAAGTAATTTTATCAGACCTAAATGTATTAACGTGTGTTTGCTGATGAGAGAGAAACATCCATTTATCTATAATAATAACTGGAACATCCATTTATCTATAATAATAACTGACACATCCATGGATCTATAATAATAACTGACACATCCATGGATCTATAATAATAACTGGAACATCCATTTATCTATAATAATAACTGGAACATCCATGGATCTATAATAATAACTGACACATCCATGGATCTATTATAATAACTGACACATCCATGGATCTATAATAATAACTGGAACATCCATTTATCTATAATAATAACTGACACATCCATGGATCTATAATAATAACTGACACATCCATGGATCTATAATAATAACTGGAACATCCATTTATCTATAATAATAACTGGAACATCCATGGATCTATAATAATAACTGACACATCCATGGATCTATAATAATAACTGACACATCCATGGATCTATAATAATAACTGACACATCCATGGATCTATAATAATAACTGACACATCCATGGATCTATAATAATAACTGACACATCCATGGAAACATTAACAGACATCTGTAAAATGGAGTTGAACACAGATGTTTGACACTGCTCTTATTCACTTTTATATCTCTTGAAAAGCAAACAGACCGTTACTAATCACATTTGAGTTTAATGTATTCAAGTATAAGTATAAGTATAAGTATAAGTATAAGTATAAGTACTGCTGACAAATGGGTAGTTGTGTAAATAATACCTCACTTTGATGACTCTTTACATTTCACACAAACAACAAAATCATAATAAAACCAACAAGTTTGATTTTAGTTTTCTTTATTTCCAGGTTCTCTGTGAAGTGCTGTCGATGAGACCTGTGTCAGAGGCAGACGCCCAGGACTCTGCTGCTGCTCCTGCTCCTGCTGCTGTTGCTCCTGCTGCTGTTGCTCCTGCTGCTGCTGCTCCTGCTGCTGCTGCTCCTGCTGCTCCTGCTGCTGTTGCTCCTGCTGCTGCTGCTGCTGTTGCTCCTGCTGCTCCTGCTGCTGCTGCTGCTCCTGCTGCTGCTGTTGCTCCTGCTGCTGCTGTTGCTCCTGCTGCTGTTGCTCCTGCTGCTGCTGTTGCTCCTGCTGCTCCTGCTGCTGCTGTTGCTCCTGCTGCTGCTGCTGCTCCTGCTGCTGCTGTTACTCCTGTTGCTCCTGCTGCTGCTGTTACTCCTGTTGCTCCTTCTGCTGCTGTTACTCCTGTTGCTCCTTCTGCTGCAGCTGTTACTCCTCCTGTTGCTCCCTCTGCTGCAGCTGTTACTCCTCCTGTTGCTCCCTCTGCTGCAGCTGTTACTCCTCCTGTTGCTCCTTCTGCTGCTGCTGTTACTCCTCCTGTTGCTCCTTCTGCTGCAGCTGTTACTCCTCCTGTTGCTCCCTCTGCTGCAGCTGTTACTCCTCCTGTTGCTCCTTCTGCTGCAGCTGTTACTCCTCCTGTTGCTCCCTCTGCTGCAGCTGTTACTCCTCCTGTTGCTCCTGCTGCTGCTGCTGTTACTCCTCCTGTTGCTCCCTCTGCTGCAGCTGTTACTCCTCCTGTTGCTCCTTCTGCTGCAGCTGTTACTCCTCCTGTTGCTCCTTCTGCTGCTGCTGTTACTCCTCCTGTTGCTCCTTCTGCTGCAGCTGTTACTCCTCCTGTTGCTCCTTCTGCTGCAGCTGTTACTCCTCCTGTTGCTCCTTCTGCTGCAGCTGTTACTCCTCCTGTTACTCCTCCTGTTGCTCCTTCTGCTGCTGCTCCTTCTGCTACATGTCTTCAGAGATGCAGAGCCCACTGTTCTAACTATTCATGACTGCTGATTAAAGGAAAATATTATATACAAGTTTGTTGTAGTTCATAATGTGGTGATGAGGTGATGGAGGTGAAGCAGGAGGTGATGGAGGTGAAGCAGGAGGTGATGGAGGTGAAGCTGGAGAAATTATGACCTTAATTTCACCACAAGTCTCTGAAAAAGAAGAACACAAACATCATGCATTAAAACACAGCCCACATTTAGGATTCTTTTTACACTTCATATTCAATTAATACTATTTATTTGGGGCTTTGCAAAAAACTGGTTAAAAATAAAATACAGAAATCCTTACAGTATTTAATATTAGAGATACAAGCTTCACAGCAGGGGAAACAGAAGAATGATATGATAGAAATATACACACATAATCAAGTTATGAGCATGGCTAACCACTTTAAACCTGTGTTTGTGGAAGTGGGACTTTGTCCTCTGCAAATGTCTTATTCATGACAAACAAAACCTCTGTATAATGTGTGTTTACTATTTATTAGACTATTGTATGAAAAGGGCTTTATAATTATTCTTGGCCTATTCTATAATTTCATATGTCTAATATATACAGTTTTCCCAGTCTCAGTATGGGATTAAAAACGATATGCACAATCTATTTTATATGAATACAGAAAACATGTGTTAGCATACTATAGCTGCTGTGCTGCAGAGTGATTTTCCATGAAAACGTGACTATTTCCTCAGTGTAGCTTTAATATTTAATCAGTGGGTTTGTTTCTCCCTAAAAGATAAAACAACATGATTTTTCTTGTTCAAAAACCGAATCTGAATGAACTAGCCTCGTAGCATTAGCTTTTCGGGACTGAGCTTATTTACAGCAGATAACAAGGTTAAATACACACATCTGTGGCAGATCTAACTTATGTCTGTGTTTTATCATAACAGTCGTGTTCATAACTCAACAGTAAAGTATAGCAGTACTTACTATAGACATAACTTCACAGTAAAGTATTAGCAGTGCTTACCATAATGTTAGCTCCAGCAGGTCCGAGTTGTTGTTTACATGTTAATGCCGAACGGAGTTCTGCGCATGCGCGGCCGTGACTCGGCAAAAAGAAGGCAACGAAGCATACATCAGATGCATCCTTCATATCTGCTCCAAAAGTGGCCGTTTCCATAGAGACGAAGTCATGATGCCTACGCTTGGCGAGCTCGCCAAGTGGTTTTGGACACCCCTGCAATAGCCGTCGCTTGAGGAAGTGACGTCACGAGCCTACATATCCACCCTACGCGGCCCGATGCCTAGCGTTTTGGACACAGCCAATACGTGAAAAATGTTCCCCCAATAACTGTCTAGACTAGGACAGGACCAAAGCATGTGGCCTTCAGAGGCCGGGCTGGGTGGGTCCACTCCTGGAAAAATTCTAGCCAATTTTTTGTTAGTATAATGAAGGCGATGAAGAACTTTAAACTGGATCAGCCCGAGGCGAACGCAAAGGGAAGATGTATGTATACGAGTCAGACAGGATTTCCATTCCTCGTCTGACAAAACAGCCCCCACATCATTTTCCCAAACTTGTTTTGTTTTCTCCCACAATATAGGTTTTGTTTGTTGCATAATTTTATACAGTACAGATACGCGCTTCCTGCTCAAAGGGTCCAATTCAAGAATTTCATCAACTTGACTCATAGGTGGCAAATAAGGAAAAGATGAAAACAAAGTCTTTATAAAACTACGTCTTTGCAAGTATCTGAACATGTGTGGCCTAGGAATATCATATTGTTGAAGTAAAACATCAAATGATCTAAACCCATCCTCTGAAAACAGCTGATAAACAAACTTCAAACCTTTATCATGCCAAATCTGAAATGTTTGATCCAAAATTGAGGGTAAGAAAAATGGATTGCAAGATAATGGGAGATATCGACTCACTTCCTGGAAAGAGAAATGTTTTCTAAACTGAAACCATATCCTAAGAGACGTCTTAACAATTGGATTGGTTATTTGTATCTTTTTACAATCATAGGGTAATGATGAAGTTACCAAAGACATAGGGTTAGAATGCAGATCCATCCGTGTCCAAATCTCCCCCTCATTTCCCTCATACAGATGCCTCCAATGTAACAACTTAGAAATATTAGCTGCCCAGTAGTAATAAGTAAAATTAGGCAACCCGAGTCCCCCAGCTTCTTTAGGCACCTCTAAGAATTTCTTTTTCATCCTAGGATTGGAAGTATTCCAAATAAAAGTTGCTATCAGACTATCTAATTTTTTAAAAACAGATTTTGGCACAAAAAAGGGGATCATTTGGAACACATAGAGAAACTTGGGTAAAACTGCCATTTTAACTATATTTATCCTGCCTGCCAAGGATATTGGTAATGTTGCCCATTTTTTAAAATTCTCAACCGTCCGTCCGTCCGTCCGTCCGTTATCTTCCGCTTCATCCGTTGCCGGGTCGCGGGGGCAGCAGTCTAAGCAGAGACGCCCAGACTTCCCTATCCACACACACTTCCTCCAGCTCGTCCGGGGGGACCCCAAGGCGTTCCCAGGCCAGCTGAGAGACATAATCCCTCCAGCGTGTCCTGGGTCTTCCCCGGGGCCTCCTCCCGGTGGGACGTGCCCGGAACACCTCCCCAGGAAGGCGTCCAGGAGGCATCCGGAACAGATGCCCGAGCCACCTCAACTGGTTCCTCTCGACGTGGAGTAGCAGCGGCTCTACTCCGAGCTCCTCCCGTGTGACTGAGCTCCTCACCCTATCTCTAAGGGAGCGCCCAGCCACTCTGCGGAGGAAGCTCATTTCAACCGCTTGTATCCGCGATCTCGTTCTTTCGGTCATTACCCAAAGTTCATGACCATAGGTGAGGGAGGGAACGAAGATTGACCGGTAAATTGAGAGCTTTGCCTTTTGGCTCAGCTCTGTCTTTACCACAACGGTCCGATACAGCTCTGACTGCAGACGCTGCTCCCTCTTCACCACAACGGTCCGATACAGCGACCGCATCACTGCGCACGCTGCACCGATCCGCCTGTCAATCTCACTCTCTATCCTTCCCTCACTCGTGAACAAGACCCCGAGATACTTGAACTCCTCCACTTGAGGAAGGACCTCTCCACCCACCTGCAGAGGGCAAGGCACCTTTTTCCGGTCGAGCACCAT